CTCCCGGCCTTTGTCTCGGCTGGGCGCCGGGCCTCGTGGCGGCGGCGGCCGAGGGGACGTTGGGCGCGGCCGCGCGGGCGGCGGGAAGTTGGTTGGAGGGAACGGAGGAGCTGCGGGACCGTGGGGTCCCGCTGGGTCGGCTGCGGCCTGACGCGGCGTGGGCGGGAAGGGGAGAGCTACCGGTCTCTGCGTTTCCCTCCCGGCCCGGCGGGGAGAGGGTTGCCTGCCTGTGAGGGCGAGGGAGAGTCTCGAAGAGACACTCATGGGTCTGTGTCTGTTCTCGTGTTTTCTTTCTTCTCCAGCCGAAACAACTTCCTGACAAGTGGCAGCATGACCTTTTCGACAGCGGCTTTGGGGGTGGCGCAGGCGTGGAGACTGGTGGGAAACTGCTGGTGTCAAATCTGGATTTTGGAGTGTCCGACGCTGATATTCAGGTAAGGGACGGGAGTTTCCCGGTGAGCACTTTACCCTCGCCGAATTGGTCCTGTTCGGGATGTGGTCTTGAATCCCCTGCCACCTTAGGACAGTGGGCCCTCCCGGGCACCCAAGGGCCACCCCTGTCCCCTCTAAGGGGTGCAGGAATGGAAGCAGAGGTCATAGTACAGTTGAAAGTCCGACAAGTAGGTCAGTGTGTTGGAAGACAGGCCCCCGGCTTAGCGTGAAGAGCTGCTGCTCTTCCTAAGATGTGTTCTGTAAATGAAAATCCTCTGCCGGAGCTTTCACTTCTTAGCCCGAAAGATTGGCCTAATGTGAGCGTGTCCTGTGTTATCGACTCACCTAGGATGTTCGGTTTTTGTTTACTTTGTACTTGTTTTAATGATTTGTTGGGAGGAAAAAGATCTTTTTCTGTGGAAATTTATAGGCAAAGCACAGAAGCAGGATGGTGCTGGGCACCTTTCCTGCTCCGTTTGCCTTGAGCCCCAAGCTCCGTGTCTTACGGAACTTGTGCCTTGTTTTTCTCGTGGTCTTTTTAGTGGCATGATTCTCAAACTCAACTTTGGTTGAAGCTTCTTTTTTTGTTGTTTTGTTTGGGGTTTTTTTGTTTTCTGGTTTTTTTGGGGGGGTTGTTTCTGTTTTTCGGGGGTTTTTTTGTTTTTGTTGTTTTGTTTTTTTGTTTGAATTCCAAAGGCATATAAACCTGTTTTCTGATTAAGTAAAGACATCTTGGGGATCAGTCCCAGAGATGGCTGGGTCAGGGTGCTGGGCCTTCCTGGGTTCAATTTCCCAGAGCCCAGCTGTTTGTTTGACTACCGTGGGAGGACAGAGCAAGGCCGGTGAGCACTCACGGTGTCTCAACACTTTTTTTAAGGTGGTTTCTGGCATCCACTGGAAACCGCTTTTGGTGAACTCCTCTTCCCGCTGTGTGCCTGCGGCCGGAGTAGCCCCACACCCCGGGTTCCCTCTCCAACTCCCAGCCTGCCTGAGGTCAGGGCGGTTTCCATGGCAGCGCTTGACTTCAGCCTTTGCGGCAGGCTTGAGTAGGAGGAGAGGGAAAGGTGAGCCAGAACCTGCCCTGGGGGAGGGGCTGGGTCAGGGCTCCCAAACCGCCGGGCCCTGGGAGCTGGTCCGCATGTCGGATAGCATCCCTTGCTCTGCGATCTTGGCCTTTGCTGTTTCTTGGTACAGTCCTTGGGTGTGTTGTCAATTTTCCGCTGTTGGAGAAGATAGCGACTTACTCTTGTTCCCTTCACTGGTGGGCTCTGTGGTCCTTTACCTGCATCCTGGGACAGATGTAAGGTCCCCACACTGGCAGGAGCCCTCAGGCCCAGCTGCTCCAGGAAGTTGCTGTCCCATACGCCCCTCCCTTCCCCTGGTTTCCACTACCACTGCCCTGCCCCCATCCGTGTCTGCCTCCCAGGGAAATGACCCCAGAGCAGCTCACACTGCCAGGGAACTGCCCTGGGCCACCAGAGGGGAAGCCCCTTCGCTAACAGCTGCTCTTCCCGGCCTCCAGGAGCTCTTCGCTGAATTCGGGACTCTGAAGAAGGCAGCTGTGCATTATGACCGTTCCGGGCGCAGTTTAGGAACAGCTGACGTGCACTTTGAACGGAAGGCAGACGCCCTGAAAGCTATGAAACAGTACAACGGCGTCCCCCTGGATGGTGCGTCTGAGGTTGGACCCAGGATGATGGCGGGGCTGCGGCTCGTTTGTGGAGTCTGGGGCTGGCAGCCATCCGTGCAGGAGTATGGCTTATCCTGTGGCTGAGGACACTTTGCATTCGCCCCTTTGTCTCTCTCTTCCATTCTGCCACCTCTCATGCTGCCCCACACATCTGGACCAACCTCTTGTGAACCCCCATCCAGCAAGCTACATCCCTCCCCTCCTTCAGCTCCTTCCGGAAGACTCACTTCTGTGAAGCCTTCTCAGAACCGCCATAGTACACCTCTGAGTGCGGGGCTGTAGTCGTAAAGACAAAGGTACCAGTTCTTCTTCCGTCAGGCCACCCACACCTTTCCACCCATGAGCACCCCGCACACCTGGCCAGACACCCACCTAGCCCGGACCGAGAAGGAGTGAGGAGGTTTTCGGTGGGGTTGTCACTGGCAGCATCTCGTTCTCCCACCAGTATCGCTCGGCCGCTCCCCTTGTTGGGAGCCTTGGAGATACACAGAGCCCCTCTCCGGTGCTTGCATGGAGACCGGGGTGCGGCACCCCTTGGTGCGCCTCAGAGCCCTCTAACCGGGGCACCTCTTGTTTTCTCTGCCGCAGGCCGCCCCATGAACATTCAGCTCGTCACGTCACAGATTGACACGCAGCGGAGACCCGCGCAGAGGTGAGCTCCGGGGCTGGGGGCGCTGCGTGGGCCTGGGGGCACTCGGCCTGCAGGCCCTTCCATGGCACGTGAGTGGGTTCCCTCTTCCCTGCTAGTGTAAACAGAGGTGGGATGACTAGAAGCCGTGGCTCCGGGGCTTTCGGCGGCGGCGGCACCCGGAGAGGCGCTCGTGGAGGAAGCCGGGGCCGAGGCAGAGGCACCGGCCGGAGTTCGAAGCAGCAGCTTTCTGCAGAGGAGTTGGATGCGCAGCTGGACGCTTACAACGCGAGAGTAAGTCCCAGGCGAGGGGCGCCGGGGGGTGGACAGGGACTGACCGGAAGCAGGGGCCTCCTGTTGAGTGAGTGATTTTTGTGTGCGTTTCAGATGGACACCAGTTAAAGAGAGCGGCAGATCCTCAAGTGGAGCAGGACCCAGATGTCTCCTCCGTGCTCCCTGGTGGGAGGGGGCCGTGGACTGGGGCTGTGCAGCCAATGATGGATTTGTTTCTTTTGTGTTTTAAAATAGGATTTAAAAACTCATGTAAAGGTTTTTTTTTTCTTTCCTTTTTTTTTTTTTTTAAATTCTGAAGCAGCCCTGTTTTGTACCGAGTTATTTTTGGGATAAATGTTACCGGTTGCCGTTGTGGGGAAGGTGGTGTTTTCACCTTTGCCATAATAAAACAGAGACGTGTGTGGAACTGGAGCCATGTGACTTGTCCCCTGTCGCAGTCCTTGCTTGGGCCTGACGGGAGCGTGGGGAGCAGTCCCGCCTGTCTCTGCTCCACCCGTCCCGCCCCCGTTACCTGCAGTGTGGAGTGAGGGGTGGGATGGGGCACCGCATGTTGCTGCCGGATTTCGGACGGCCGGTTGGGCTGTCCCTCTCCTCCTGGTGCTCTGCTGCTCAGACACAGGGATCAGCAGCTCTGACTTTGTAACATAACCCCCTCCTGTTCTCCTCTGTCTCTCACATCAAAGCAGGCGCCAGCCAGCAAGTGTGCCCTCAAGTCGTATCCCGGTGGAATTCTAGGGGGAGCTGTAGCAGTTGAGTGACGTGCACAGACCTGGAGGGGCTGGTAGACGGCTGCCCCGTCTGGACTCCCTCTGGGACAGAAGAGAGCAGGCCAGAGATGTGCCCTGGGCACTCGCCCTGCCGTGCTGCTCGGAAGAGGCCAAGCTCCCTGCGGGAGGCCGGGCAGGGAGACCCCACTGAAACCCTCAGGGTTTCCCTCCTCCTCCGGAGGTGCTGCGGTTGTGCCCAAAAGCCAGTGAGACCTAAGGGCCCTGCATCTGCGGCCCCCGGGCCCGGTCTAGGGTACAGCAGCGGGTGGCAGGTGGTGGCGGCGTGGACAGAGAGACTTGGGAAGGCGGTGGGCTGTGGCGCACAGAGCCTCGTGGCGGGACGGCGGGGACACACCCTGCAGCTCAGCGGCGGCGCTGCCTTTAACTGCCGGTCCTCTGCTGTCACTGCAGAGCCGGCGGCTGCCGCTTGAACGGCCTGCTTCACGCTAGGCGCTGGACGGAAGGGTGACTGGCACGACGTGGCTCAGCCCTGGAGGAGCCCAGTGTCACGGGAAGGGATCGGAATGTGCCCGGCCTTGGCTGCTGTGGCCGCGAGGGAGGGACGGGCTCGAGGTCAGGTGATCCAGGCACGGTGGGGCGGTGTCCCTGGGAGGTGGTGGTGTCCGGCTGAGCAGCCACGCACCAGGTGGGGAGACCGCCCTTGGAGAGGTGGGGGGCTGCCTGAAGAGAACACCTGCTGGAGGGGGACGATGGGCCCAGGCCAGAGGCCAGAGGCGCTCAGACTGACGGCCACTGGGATGGGGGGGCGTGGGGTGGCGGTTCAGGCGCTGGAGCCGTGGCTGAGGGTGCCATGCGTGGGGAGAAAGGCCCAAGAGGAAAGCAGGGGAAGGGGCGACGCTCAGTGTGGGATCTAGGAGGCAGGCAGAGACCAGACGCGGATAGGCGTCCCACGAGTGCTCGGAGCTGGACGTCGCCAATTTAGCAGCTGTAGACACGTGGACACTAGCAAAGCAGCGGCAGGTGGTGTGGCCCAGGGAGGTTTGGAGGAGACAGGAGAAACTGGAGGGGGTGACATTTTAGGAGCTGGGGAGACCACGGGCGGGGGGAAATGACCCTGAGGTTTCGTGAGTCCAGTGGGGTGGATGGAGCCACGCAGACTCCTTATGAGCCAGGAGCGGCCTCGATCGCTTTGAACCTTAACTCCTTATTTGTGAAACAAGAAACCTTTTATTTCAGGAGTTGGAGGACCCTGTAACTCTGTCTATGCTGGGATGCTCCTGAGAGGGAAAAGGGGGACTGTTGTGTATGCAGAGACAGCATCCATGATCCAAGGCAAACCGGGCATCTGGCCACTGAAAGGACAGTGTCAGGTGTCCCTGCAAAGGCCAGCACTCTTTGTCCCCCAAAGTATCGTTAAACGAGTGAAAGATGAGATAATATTTGGTGGTTTTACATGTTTTTCTCCTGCACGTTCTCTGCTCAGACGCTGAACTGCAATTGTCCAGCGCCCCTCACAGCCACCCAGATGGACTGAGCTGCCTCCTTAGCCTGGACTTGGGACGCTGTCCGGCCCTCTTCCTGGCTGGCGGTACGTGTGGAAGCTCAGTGGTGGGTCCAAAAGTGGGTACGTGATCCACTTGGCCTGTCTGAGTTACTCTTCACGTGATGAGCAGGAAGCCAGCCCCAGGGAGGAGTGGCAGGAGGCCTACAGGGATGGGAGCCCCTGGGCCTGACTTGTCCTCAGGTGGCTCAGGAGGAGAGGAGCCAGTCAGCTGCCGAGCGCATTCTTAGCTGTTCCTTAGTTGAGCAAAGACGCGTGTGGTCACGGAGCAATCTGGAATGAGAAGCAGCAGGCCTCTCTGCTTGAGGACTGTAGGAGACAGAGGAGCCGGGGGCCTGGATGCGATGAGCGATGGCTGCCCTTGTTCGACGCCCTCTGGGGCCCCCTAACCTACTGTGTGTCTGCGCACATCCCGGGAGTGAGCACGGTTTGGGTCTTGCCTTCAGGGAGCTGAGAGTCTAACACAGGAGACAAAAGTGAGAAATTGTGATATAGTCTAGTAAGTGTGGGAACGTAGCCTCAGCATCTTTTTGGTCCCCGGCTACTAGCCGTCGAAGGTCGTACCTCCCACACTGCCGGGCCTTCGTGCAGATCTCATTCATCCTCCCAGGAACCTAGTGAAAGGATCTTTCTATTTTTTGAGTTTAAAGAAAACAGAATTTATTTACTCATCCAGCAAATGTGTGAGTGCTGGCCACATGCCAGGCGGCATCCCCTTGTGCTGGAAACAGAAATCCCTGCCCTCACAGATGTCCGCTCTGATGGGGGACAGACTGGCGGTGGGGAGGGGAATACAGGATGTCAGCGGTGCCCGGCCAGGTCCATTGGCGGAGTGTGTGACTCTTGATCTTGGATCGTAGATTTGAGCCCCACGTTGGGGATAGAGTCACTTAAAAAATAGGGACACCTGGGTGGCTCAGTCGGTTGGGCATCTGCCTTTGGCTCAGGTCGTGATCTCAGGGTCCCTCCTGCTCAGTAGCAGGAGAGTCTGCTTCTCCTTCTGCCCCTCCCCCTGCTTGTGCGCGCTCTCCCTCTCTCTCAAATAAAATCTTAAAAAAAAGGAAAAAGATAAGCTTAAAAAAACAACATATTCAATCAACACAGGGTGATAGCACCAATAGAACTGACTCCCCAGTGCTCTCCAGACCCTGATACTGCAGGTGCTCTGTTTTACTTATTTTTTATTTTTATTATTTTTTTGTCACCTCGACCCCCAACGTGGGGCTCAAACTCGCAACCCTGAGATCGAGAGTCACGTGCTCTACACTGAGCCAGCCGGATGCCCCTCCAAGGCTTTTTTTAAAGGACAGCTTTAGTGAGACATAATTGACATACCATAAAGTTTACCCATTTGGAAGGTAGAATTTTAATTTTACAGTGACTTTACGGTATTCACAGGCTCATAATCCAACACCACATTCAAATTCCAGAATGTTTCCATCACCCCAAACACAAACCCACTAGCAGTGACTCCCTACTCTCCTCCCCCAGTCCCTGGCGTGCACGAGCCTGTTTTCTGTCTGCGGGTTTGCTGATCTGGGACGTGGCACGTAAATGGAATCGTACCACACGTAACCTTCTGTGTCAGGCTTCTCTCACTTGGCGTCACGTTTTCAAAGTTGCCCCGTTTGCTAGCACGAATCGACCCTCCGTGACAATGGACGGCTTTGTTATCCGTCCTGTGCGGTGGACCCGCCTTTGGGCTGTTGCCACTGGGGGCTGCTGGGTCTTCCGTGAACATGTGTCTCTAGGACAGGAGTTGCTGGGTTGGAGGGCCGCTCGGGCACACGCTTGCCCGCCGGCCGGGCACAGGGTTCCCAGCTCGCCCTGTCCACCGTATCTTAGCCAGACGTTAGGTGCGAAGAGGGATCTCCCTGTGGTTTCGCTTGCACTTTCTTTTCTTTATTATCCTTATCCTTTAAAAAAAAAATCTGGATTGAATAATAGTGATCACGGATAAGATGCGCCTCCCTGGACTCCACCTGGGACCACTGGAGGCCCGGGTGGAGCTGAGTGTCCTGCTAGCAGTGTGCACCATGCTCGGCAGAGTCCCTAAAGGTTGGTTTTGTTGGGTGTGACGAAGCACATTTCGTGTCTCTTGGCAGTGCCTCGTGTCATGTAAGTTTTACGGTAATAGTCTCAGACATGTAAAGCTATTCCTTAAGTTGATACAGCTACCAATTTCTATTCAGTCTTAGCCTTATCATTTCTAGTAACATCAGCCTATTTCTCTGTTTAACTGTGAATGTCCTTAGGTGTTATTTTGTAGTGTTGATATTCGGATTTATAGGAAAGAAGTGAGAATAGGGGCACCTGGGTGCTCAGCCGTTGGGCGTCTGTCTTCGGCTCAGGTCATGATCCCAGGGTCCTGGGATCGAGCCCCCATCGGGCTCCCTGCTCCGCCGGAGAGCCTGCTTCTCCCTCTCCCACTCCCCCTGCTTGTGTTCCCTCTCTCGCTGTGTCTCTGTCAAATAAATAAATAAAATCTTAAAAAAAAAAAAAGTGAGAATAGTATGGGGAGTTCCTGCGGGCTTCTCACCCAGACTCCCCAAATGCTGGCATTTTCCACTTTTTAAATCTGAACTGATGGAGAGTGAGTGCAGCATGAGGCCACTTTACCCCAAATCCTTCTGTGTCTATTTCTTTAAAAACAACGATATTCAAAAAATAAAAAATAGGGCAACCCTGTTGGGACCCCTCTCACTCTTGAGAGCTTCTTCTGTATCTTCACTTAATAAACTATCGCTTTACCCAAAAAAATTAATTAAAAAATAAATAAAAACTAGGATATTCTTAGGGGGCCTGGGTGGCTCCGTTGGTGAAGCATCTGACTCTTGGTTTCGGCTCAGGTCATGATCTCAGAGTCGTGAGATCGAGCCCCGTGTCGGGCTCTGCGCTCAGCACGGAGTCTGCTTGAGATTCTCTCTCTCCCTCTGCCCCTCCCCCACGCCCTCTCTTAAAAAACAAAACAAAAACCACAAGGATATTCTTTTACATAATCAGACACTATGACACAATGCCATATCTGAACTACAGCCCTGCTTCAGTTTAGCCAGTTGGCCTGTGTCCTACATGCTTTTCCTGTCTGCGTGGAAAGCAGTGCCCTGTCCGCTGACCTCAGGGCGT